CCGAATATTCCACATATGAACACTATCAAGGGTTTCAACAAATATTGACAGCCAAACAAAGTCAAATGATGCTGCATTTCGGATTTAATATTGAAATAGGTCGTACCCTCCTCCACCTTCTCCTCCTCCTTCGACATGCAGTTTCGGTGACGGTGACGAGTGGTGGGTGCAGCGATGAGCGCGTGCTATATAGGCAAAATCCTTCTCAAACATAATTAGCTGCTAAATATTGCAGTTTTTAGCTGTAAACAAATAGAAAAATAAAGTTTGTGCGCCTACAAGTATGTGAAATTTATTTGCTTACATTTCGGCAATGCTGATGAAAGGCAACTGTTTAATAAACTCGAGTTTTATTTATGTTTCTCAGTGAAATACTGAGGGCGTAAAAGAGTCAAGCATGCCATTATGTTAAAGTTGGTGTCAATGAACAGTTTTAACATATTAGCAAAGTTTTTCCATATACTTAATGTGTATAAACACAAAATGCTATAGTATACATAAATATATTATAAAAAGTATAGTAACAAATGTTGAAATATGTATTAACGAATGACATGTCTAATTAAGTTTTTATAAATTCCTTTTCACTTACTAGATAGTGAAGAATTTAGTGTCTGATAAATGCCTCTACCTCATGTCTAGAGACATGACTCAGCAATACTAGACAACCAAAATTTTGTTAACAACTTAGCCGTATTTATTAAGATCATCTCAAATAAACTGGATCAATCGATTATTTTAGGTTCGTTTCATCTTTTATTTCTTGACTCTTTTAAATTTTATCATACTGATATTTGTGAATTTTCCCTACAGTAAATATAGGTATTCAGTATCAAAATATTGACCAACAGTGAAAGCAGGCATCCAAATTACTATTCTGTTTTATACAATATTTATTTTAGTTAGTAAACTAATGGGGGCATAGTAGAAAAGTCCATACTGAGTTAATTTTTAGCCAAAAATGTATGGTTCTAATGCGAAACTTTATTATAATATATTGCTTAGAAATTATATCTAGTTTTTGGCAGCCTTGAACGTAGAGTTATATTACATAGACTGTAAAGGTCTAATCAGACCAAATCATTATTTGTTTTCAGCCAATATAGTCAATATAGTGTCTAGTTGCCACATATTTTATGGCTTTTGTATTAGTTTAACTATAAATAACCTTGAGTAACTCATACCTAATATAATGTCATCCACTTCTTTGGGAGTTTAATAATGTTCCAGATTATTCTTTGTAAAAACTACTTTTATGTAAGTTTGGACGTTGATAGCACTGTGATATGTGGGGTTATTTATACCTTAACGACAATAAATATATAATAGAGGATTGCCATAAATAACTATATTAGACATGATATTTATGTTCATTAAATACAAAAAAATTATTTTATAATTCTCATTATCTTTAATACTTTTATAAAGTAAATATCCTTTTATTGAATATTGAGTTATACATGATTTTAATATAAACTTTATAATTGAGATATAATTGTGACGTTCTTTCCATTCTAGAATACAAGGTTGAAATAGCTATTACATCACAAATTTTTGTCTGAAACGCCTGAATTGTACCTGAAGTAGTTTCTTAAATTTTTAAAATAAATAAACAAACCTTCGTGGCGGTAACTACGTTAATGTTTTAACTCTCAAAACAGAATATTTCGAATAGATTGGGTATGCCTACCTCAATCTCTAAGTCCCAACTATATGATTTAGATTATGTAAATTTGGTATGATTGTTATCTCTCTTAACAACTGTTTGAGTCGCATACTCTATCATTCAGGAACAAAATTTCTTTTCCCAAAATGGTGTTACGTTGTAGTTTTTAAAGTAATTTTTTAAATTAAAAATCCGTCCAGTACTAATTTTGTCTAGATAGATATTTAATTATTACTTACTCTATTTATGGTGTATTTCCATGTAACAAAATTTTTTTCACAGTAACCGCAGAACGATTCAAGGCAGAACGATCCACAGTAAGTTATAGATCTTAATTTTTTGTTTCGTCGTTTTTGATACTTTTGATATTAACTTTTCTAATTTTGTCATATGGATCATATGAAAGATAATGAATATCAATATATGATCTATCTATATAGGGTTAACCATTTTACTAGTGTCCATATGCGTAAAATTTTATATAAGTCAAAAACAATTAATTCAATTTAACAATAATATTAATCAGTTATAAAGTCATACTGAAATTTATTAAATGAATATAATAATAATAGAATAAAATATAAATAAACGTAATACTAGCATCTAACTAAGCGAGGCACTGCATCCACTACAAAATCTGCCTTCAGACCCTATCTTTACAGAAGACATTCATCTCTCATGAAAGTGAACCAAAATGCCAACTGTTAAAGATTTCTGCTAACCAACTCTCACTTAAGAGAAGACACACGGGTCTCAAAAGTAGGCCAAAATATCAGCGACTGGGGATTTTTTTATATTAAACGGAAATAGCCGACAAGTGGTGTAGAAATCTTATTCTAACCAGATATATGTTGGATAGTCATGAAGAATGTGACCATGTCTCATTTGTTAATAACAAAAGTCACATTCTATCGGCTCTAAGAGACCCAACACTTAAAATGATAACCCAACCATAATAGCATAAAAATATCCAGTCGTGTAGAATGGGACTATAAGTAATGACTATAAGTAAGTAGTAACTATAAGTCATGGTAAATTCAGTGCTTTTGGCCTTGTCTGCGACCTCATTACCACTACCTTTGATTGATATGCAAGCCACCACAATCATTTGCGTATAAATATTATAGAACAAAAGTTATTCGAAGTCGAATCCAAGCGTAATAGTGTGATTACGTTATATTTGGCGGAAAAATCGTAATCAGATATTCTTCATAAGCTCAAACACCTCACAAAGGAGTTGTTATGTTTGCAGAAACGTGGCGAATTCCCATATATTGTGTTCTCTGATGATTGATTCTCTGAATGATTCTCTGATCTCCATTGAACAGTACATAAACTCTCATAATGAGCGTGTTCAGTTAAGTAACTGAACGCATTGCTGAAAATTTAAGACTACGAATGGCCACCCGAAGTAATTTTCCATCTCAAATAATGGTATGTGCAGCTATGACCACCGATGGACGCTCTCCATTCGTTTTCATCAAGCCTGGTATCAAAATCAATACAACATGGAAATTGCTTTAGAACTGTAGGCACGCAAACATTTCGGTCGTAAAACAGGGTTTTTAATGATTAATGGTTAAAAAATCATGTGCCTCATTTCATTTCGTCTACACAATGGTTTAGACTCTTTAATCTTGTCCATTTTGGAGAGTAAGATGAGGATTACAAAATATTGCAGTATGTATGACCTGAAGAAAGCCTTTGTTCAAGATACCGGAAGATCACATTCGTGAAGCATGCAACGCATTTTTATGCAACCAATTTTATTTTCAGAAATTTTTGTGATTTAGTTTAATAATAAATAATTTCACACAAAAAAGATATGATCGCTTGAATAGGTACCACTTCAATCGCCTAACCCTGTATAATTATTGTTGTGTGCAATTTTACTTTAAAAATTCTTCAACAATAAACAAAAATTAAAAGTTAATTCATCAATAAAGAAGACTAGAAAAATGTTTCCGTTCTTAACAACAATTTTAACTTGGAAATATTTTCACACTCGTCGAAGAGGAGCTTTCCTTTTCGCTCACAGAAATTTTCTTAACTTCCGCTTGCCGTAGAGAAGTGTCGGCACAAAGTTTTGTGGCTTTTTTAATATTTTATGAGTCAAGCATTTGCGTTAACACCTTAAGTTCGCAAGGTTTTACAATAGCGATTCATGTTTCGGAGCTCCCAGTTCAATGGAATGGCAGCTACCTAAAATTGAGCTCCTGTTGCTGATGAAGCTATTGTCGTGCTTTGTTGTTTCTACTACTACCACTATTGTTGTTGTTGTTGTTGTTGGTCTTGTTGCTGTTATTGTGGTTGCAATGAAGCATCGAATATTACAAAATAGACGATTTATTTCCAAGCAACTTTTACTGTTACTACAAAACAATAAGGATAATAAGAAGAACGTATGTTTACCGCCAAAATTGTGGCTTTGTCGAGCGTTGAGGTGAGAGTCAATACACAGACGCACATATAACTTTGAAGCAATAAGTTACCTTCTTCTATACGGCAACTCAATGAGGCAAAATTAAACAATACAAAAGATTAAGTGCAGATTTGGGACTTTATCTGCTTGTGCCATAAATTGGTATTTAAGGATACCCCACAACTGAACTAACAAACAAACCCACAGACAATCACACAAACGAACGTTTGCCATATTGCATTGCAAAAATAAAAGTTGTTATGGTATTAGCAGTAAATATTCCATTTGTTGTTGTTTATGTTGCTGTTGTTGTTGTTAAGTAGTCATAGTCCCAGTAGTTGAAGCAATGGTAGGTGGATGTGCGACAAGACAATAGATCAACTTGCACTTATACGTGTACTTTCCAGTGTAAGTTCGCACGGGAGAACGTGGGTGCATGTCTGTGTTCATCTGTTCACAGGAATCGGTAGATGTTCAGTAAGAAAAAGTATCAGAAACTTTTCTTTGTCGTGGTATTAAGCATATGTTCTGAGTTTGCTTTTTGTTCTATTATTTACTTCCTTTGGCCACAATTACAAGATGTTCCTTAGAAGTGCTTTATTCCGTATGCACAAGATTAATTGCAATCGGTGTTTGGCATATGTAAGTTGGTCATAGTCAGAAGTAATTAGGAACTTTATTGAAAAGTTGTTGGAAGGGACAAATTTTAATATTTCTAGAGTGACTACCAATATTTTATGTATATACATTGTGACCGAAAAGTTTTCGGAAATTCTCATTTAAAATTCGCGCGCTGTATATTTTTCGATATT